TTGGGTGCCTATGGCTCAGGACGGGCAGATCTTAGAGACCCCTAGGAAAGCCCTCCCCCCACATCCAGGGGAGGGACAGACAGGTGCCAGGCCCCAGGCCACGGTGACAGCACTGGAACTGGATAGTGGAACCCAGACTGCAGACCTACTGCCAGGGACAACCCACTGTGCCAACCTAGGGTTTGTAAACTTTAAAGTGCTATACCTGTGTAAGGAAGGATTGTCACCAACATCGTCATCTTGCCTATTATGATTATCTTGAGGCTTAGTTCCCATGGGGGTGGAAAGATTAGAGAATGAACTAGTCCGCATGAATTGCAAAGCATTTTACCACATTCAAGGACAGTTATCTCTGTGGCTAGCCTCTGGGACGGATAACTCAGGAGTTTGGACTCCACATCCTGGCCACAGGTTTATCTCCAGGACCAGGTTTTGAGCAGGTGCAGTGGAAGACGCCTGCTCTGGATCCTGTGTCTCTGAGCTCCGGATGCCTCATCTGTAAAAGGGGCTAACACCGTCCCCTACCCGGCGGGTCCTGGAGGCAAGGACGATGCTGGTAAAACACCTGCAACTTGGTTGGTGCCCAATAAATGGGAGGAGGTTCCTGTTGCTTCCTAATTCTTGTTCCTATAGACAAGGCCCAGGACCCCATGTTACCGTTCCAGGGACAGCGATAGGTGCAGCTTGGTGGCAGAAGGAGACAGCTGGGCACTTAAAGTCATAACCTGCAGGGGGAAGGCAGGCAGAGGTTACACTCACATTCAGCAGGAGCTTGAGGACAGGTCTGCCTTGGCCTACAGGTGAATTTCCACCATCCATTCCTTCCACTAACCCTTACTGAAGCCCTACTGTGTGTTAGGGTCCATGCTGGGCTATAAGGAGGTAACCTGAAGGTTCTGGTGTTCAAGAGCCAGAGTATGAAAACTGAGGGTGATCGGTGTTGTTTGGGGCTGCAGGAGCTTGAAAGACCCTCAGTCCAGCCTGCAGTGGGGCAAAGAAAGGCATCCCAATGAGGTGACATGGGAGCTGAACCTTGAAAGATGAGGAATTAGCCAAGGGAAGGGGGCAGATGGCACTGCAGCGGGTGGACACCGCACAAACAAAGGCAGGGAGTGGGACCTGGTAGCCCTGAGTCACTGAGGCTTAGGGCGCAAGGACAGGAAAGGCAGAGGATGCAGCAGGGAGGCAACGAATGGTGCTAGGGAGCCGGGACAGAGAGTGAGCCGGGAGGGACCTGTCTTCGCCCAGGTGTACGTTTGGGAAAACTTGTAGAGGTGAGGTAGAGGGGAGCATACTGGAGCTGGGGGGCCAGGAGGAAGCTGGAGGGTCATCCAAGAGAAATCTGAGCACTGAGGCTGGGAAGATGGGAAGTCATTCCTGAGACCCTTAGGAAGCAGTCGACAGGCCTTGGGCTCAGTCACATGTTCAATGAGGCAGGAGTCTAAGCGGGTACTCAGGTCTCAGCTCAGATGATGGCAGCGAAGCAGAGGAACTCCCTGTGCTGTGCCACCTGAAATCGGGAGGAAGACAACCTCCCCCCCCAGCAGCCTCTATAGGGTCAGCCCCACTCAGAACCCCAGTGCTGGGCTCCCTTCGCTCATCCACTCACCCCGTTTAGCTCGAAGAGGGCTTCAGGGGTCCCTGCAGGGAGGTAGGACAGCACGTGGATGACAGCTGGGATGGAGACTGTGGCCTTCTTGCTCTGGAGCGTGACTGTAGGTACTTCCTTCACCCGCAGTGAGAGCAGGAGCTGCTGGCCTGGGGGCAACTTCACCAGGACCTGGAGAGAGGCAGGGGCAGAGCAGGGGGCGTGAGAGCAGCTTAGACGCCCTACTAATAGAATCAGTCAGTGAGTCAACAAACACTCATTGAACGCCTACTGGGCACCAGGCACCATGCTGAGCACTGACGTTACAGCCTGAACCAGACAGGCCTGGTCTCAGCCCCCATGAGGCTGACAGTCAGATGGGGAGACACCAGCCCATGGAACAACCAAATTAGATTCTCGCTGTTCCTCTAACTTGCCGGGCACACTCCCACCTCAGGGCCTTTGCACTTGTTCTTCCTTCCACCTGGAAATGTTTTCCCCACATACCTGTATGGTTCCCTCTGTCATCTCCTTCAGCCTTCTGCTCAAATGTTGCCTCCTCAGAGCACCCTGTTTAAGAGCACTACCCCTGTGCTCCTAATCTGCCTGTCACTCCATTCTCTTTCACTTCCTGACACTGTGTACCTTCTACTTATGCATTTGTTCAATGTCTGTCACCCCCACCAGAATGGCAGCTCCTCGAACACAGAGGCTTTTGTCTACTCGTCACCTTTTACTCCTTCTGGATGCCCAGCACCCAGCACAGGGCCTGGTACATAGTAGGTGTTCAGTGAATATTTGTTGACTGACTGATTGAATCACACAATCAGGAAATCCTGAGTCTCATCATCATAACATCATGGAATTATGGAAGTGCTGGAAACCAGAGTCACAGAAGCTTGGAGTCACTTAAATGCTAGCATCTGGGGGGCCAACTCCTCAAGCCCAGACTTCCAGAGTTGCAGGGTCATACAGCTAGGGAACCACCAGATTCCACCCTCACGTAGCCACAGATCCTGAAGCTCTAGAACCAGCCTCAGAGCTGGGGCCATGACTCTGCAAGGCCAGCAAGCGGAGAGCAAAGGCTTCAGCTTCCAGAGCCAGGCCCAGGCTCCCTGACCTGGAGGGATATGACCCAGCTCGTTGCATTCATGGGTCCCTGCTCCTGCCACCTCTGCCTCTCCCAAGTCCCTCTCCACCATCTTACAACTCCTGCCCTCAGGAGGTGCTTCTCAGTGTCTAGCCCCAATCTTATCCCTTGCTTGAGACTCCTATGCCCTTTAGCCAAGAAGCTGAGGCCCCAACCACACCCACTAAGGCTGGTTTGAATCATCACCTTCAAATATTCACAGTTTTTCCATATCCCCAAAATTAGCTTCCCTCTCCATCTTCTCTGGTGGAAACCCAGACCTTCTGGGGCTCTTTCCAAACTTTATCAGAACCTGCTGCTAGGTAAGGACCTTGGAGTAGTGATTTCAACCTCAGTATGAATTCAGAGACTCGTAGCTGGAAAGTATCTGGTCCAGCCCCAGTTGAATGGACAGGAGAGCTGAGGCCAGGCCCTTCGGTCATGTACTGATGTCCACGAGTTACACCTCCCTGAATCTTCTCCCTTCTCTTTCCTTCCCAAGGCCAGTGCCCTAAGTCTTTTCTCTGGAGACAGAGACGACCAAGACCCAGATGAAGTAAGGCAGTTGGGGTGAGGAGACTCAGTAACCTAGAAAGAATCTTCTGTCCTCTCCCTGATAGAAAAGGAACAGCCTCAGGACAAATGCCCAGTTGGCTTCTGGGGCAGCTAAACCCTGGTCCTTTCCACTCTGCTATCAGGAAAGGATACGATGTTAGCCATTCACACTTTAGTGTGAATTTAGATTCAACATGCAGTTGCAGCTATTTGGAGAACTGTATTGAGAAAGATTCTGGAGTCCATTCAGGCTCATCAGGAAAGAGTTACAGCGATCAAAAATCATGACAGCACCACTCACCTCAGGGACCAAAGCCGCCAGGTCTGTAGTTGTCAACGGGACATTGCTGGGAACCTGCACCCAAGACCAAAGGAGAGGAGGGGGGAGGAACACAGGACAGGGATCCCTCAGCACACACACAGTTTTGTCCATACCGCAACCCCTCCCACCACCACCACCACCACCACCCCGCACCAATTACATACACATCGCTACAAACACTCATGTTCCTTTCTTTGGCCAATGATTACTGAGCACTTGCTACATGCCAGGCACGGGCTCAGGGCTGTGCCTGCCTTTGTTAATTTCACATTTACAACAGCTCAAAGATGTGGGTGCTATGATTACTCCTATTTTACAGACACGGAACCTCAGGCTCCTGTCCAGACTCGTAAGTTGGTAAGTGGAGGCACCAGGATTTCACTGGGGCCGGCGAACTCCAGAACCTACGAACCACTCTGCCTCCGATCACAATCTGAAGGCCAGGGATCTGACCACAAACATTTTTGCCTTTTGCCCAAACAGTGTTTTTAAAAACTATGAATTTGTTTCCGGTATACACAAATCAGGAAATTTCATATATGATTTTGCCAGTTTGGGGCTGAAAAGTTGGAAAATCTAGTCACACTGAGCCTGTACCCACTACCCAGCCCTTGGGGAAGGTGAATGGCAGCTGCCTGAGAAATGGGGCACAGGCTCCCCAGTTCACTATAGTCCACCAGGCCTGCTTCCCTTATTCTGCTAATCAATAAGGGCTCTGCCCCCTGGGCCCTGGTGATTGAGAGCCCTGAACTACACATGTCCACTTCTCGGAACAGACCTGTTCGCATGTCGCATGGATAAACACACAGACACACTCTCTCCTGCTCACAGGATTCCCAGACTCTCACCCAACAAAAGGCTGTCACTTGGTGGGGGTGGACAGTACCTGAGGATAGCACCTGGCCTCTGGGATCCCTCTCTCTTTACACACAAACACACACACACACACAGAGCGCTCAGACACACACATTCTCACCCTCAGTCTCTGCCTGGTTGACTGCCACCTCTCTCAAGCTAGAAGACACCTGCCTCCCAGTTCAGGAGCCTATTCCAGTGTTCTCTGGACCATACATGCAGGAAGTGAGCGATCAACCCATGTTCCCTCGGATCTGAGCTTCAGGCTGGGTAGCGGTAGCAGTAGGGGTGGAGGTGGAGGCAAGTGGCTTAGAGCTCACTGTCTTTGGAGAGGGCTGGGCTGAGACCAAAAAAAAAAATGCCTCTGGGTGAGGCTTCTGGGGGCTGGGCCTTCCAGACATCTGTGAGGTGTGAGAGGGTCCGGAATGAAAGCAGAGAGATCTCAGAAGCTTCAGAACAAATAACTTTTGGAGTCCAACCCTAGTTTTCTTTTCTTCAACTCTAATCTGCTCTTGAGAGAGCAGTAGAAACATTAGCCATCCACACTTTAGTGTAAATTTGGACTTTGACTCTGGAAGGGCTCATCTGGTGCAAGGATGGAAAGTTGCTACATTTCATATATCAGTTCTGACTAATTGAAAGTGACTTCCTGGAGTGCCATGTTGAGAAGGATTCAGAAGTCCCATTTAGAATTTAGCCAAGCAGAGGGCCATTATCGATTAGCAATGTTTGCCACAGGACAAGAGTGGGCATGTGCATGCTATAAACTTGTCCAACTCTGTCCAATTATGGAGAAAAGGGCTCATCGAGACTAATCAATGATGATATGACTGGGCCATTGCTAGCATTATCAGGGCACAGCAGGGCAGGGTGCCACACTTACCAGCTCAGGGGTGATGTCTATGTTGAGGGCACTGTTGGTTTGCAGGAGCCCAAATACGGTGTTGAAGAGGAACAGAGGCACGGTCACCTGGGATGTGTGGTCCTCCTTGGGAGGCACCTTGACAGGTTTGTGGGGCTTAGGGAAGTCAATTACGTCACCAGCTAAGCTCTTCACAATGGGCTGCAGGGGCAGGAGACAGGACATGGGAGGATCTCGGGTCGGCTCACTCATGTGGCTTTGACCCAGCATCTCCAATGTGGCCTCCACCAGTACCCCACCACACCCCAGCAGTTGGCAGGGCCTCGGAGGGCACTCACGTTGATGTCCAGCTCTATGTACTGGTTAGAGGTAAGAGGCAGGGTGGCCAGAGAGAATTCCACAGTTCCAAGAGCCCCAAGGGGCACCAGACCTGCATGGGGAGAGGAGGAGGGAGAAAGGCCCCATGAGCCCAGCCCCCAATAACAGGCCCTACTTCCATTTACTGAGTGCCTAGCACTCCACTAAGTTTTCACATGGGCACTACTGTCTTCCTCGTTTTACAGATAAAAACACTGAGGCTCAGACAGAGGAAGCCAACCCGCCCAAGGCCATGCAAACCAGAGTGGCAAAGCCAGGATNAGTGCTCGCCCCAGACTGGCTCCAGTAACCTCAGGGTCTCTCACAGAAGGAAAGATTCCCACAACGAGAAACCAGCCAGTTTCCGTGGCTTAGAGAAAAATGGGCACCTCTCAAGCCCTGTGATTCTGTCCTCGGGCCACCCATCCCTGCCTTTGCCCCTCTCTGAGCCCCAGTTTTCTCATTTGTAAAATGGGCTTTTTCTCCCATCACCCTCCAGGTACCCCCTCCTAGGGTACATTCGTTCTGTTATTCAGATAGGACAGCAGGATGGTCGCAGGGTCAATGGTTGGGGGCCTGGACAAGGCCAGCGCTACTGCAGGCTGCCTTACCCACTCCTGCAGCTCCACGACAGGTAGGTGGGGGTTCGCAGCCTCCTGTCAGCTCCTCCACCCTCTCAGGGCTGGGGGCGGCTCTTATATGCCCACAACAGCTCTGGGGACACAAAAGGGTCACAGCCGCCAGAAACCCGTCAATGTGTCATGTCAGAAGCAAATTGCGGTTTTCCCTGCAGGCCTAGCTAAGCCTTCCTTCTGGGGAAAGAGAGAAGGGGAGTTGAGGTACTGGGGTGGGTGCCCAGGGACTACAGAGACAGCCTCCTCCCCCAAGAGCTGGGGACAGGGTTGGAGCATTCAGCCCACTATAGGGTCTCTCTCCAGGGTTCCCCAAGGTCCACCCAGTGACACAGAACCCACCCTGCCTCCCCACCTACCCCAGCTAAGGCCCAGGGAGGGAAGGAAGGAGCTAAGTCTGCTGGGTCTTCTAACCCTCTGCCGCCCCTCACCCCAGGCTTGGCATGGAGCCAGTGCTGGGGCCTGGAGCAAGGAACTCCGGACTGATTTGGGGGACGGGCACCAACTCCACCTCCACCTCCCAAGTCCAAGAGCAAGCCACTTTATCCCCTTCCTGAGGCCGGGGACAAATGATGGTGGAGAGAAAGTTATTTATTCACCCATTCATTCATTCATTCATTCATTCATTCTTCAGCAGGCATTTATGGAGCACCTACTGTTTGCTAGGTGCTAGGGTTACAGCTGTAAACAAAAGAGACAAACCCTCTGCCCTGAAGGAGGTGAGGTAAAAAGAAACAAGTGAATTAATTTTAATAGTATAGTTTATTTAACCCCAATATATCCAAAATATTATCATTTAACACTTAATTAATATAAAAAAANCTGCCAGGTCCCATCCACCAGGGCCCGCCTTGGTCACGCCCACCCCTGGGCGTGTGGACGCTGATGAGGGGCGAGTTGGGTGGCCCTGCGAGTGTCCTAGTGCCCATGCCCTCCTCTCATCCCCTGTCTCCCTGCATGTCCCCTATTTTGCATGTCCTTGCGCCCTCTTCCCCCAACCCCTCCAGTGAGCTCCAGGCAATGGAGTAGGTATCTCCCGGGAACATGAGATGGAAGTCCTTGGGGGTCAGTGGGATGGAGGTCTCTGGGAAGGGGTACAGGGGTGGGATCCAGGGAAGAACAGTAGGGTGGGAGTCCCTTGAAGAGGAACTAGAGTGGGAGGAAATAGGGGAGCAGTGGAGTAGGCATGGGAAGACAATAGGATGGGGGTCCCCGAGGGGCAGTGGGTGAGGTGGGAAGCAGTAGGGTAGAGGTCCCCAAGGGCACACTCACCCAGAGCCATGCAGGCGCACCTTGGTGTGCAGTTTCAGCTGCACCCCAAACCCTGGCAGTAGCTTCAACGACACCTTTGGCAGCGTGAGTTCCTCGATCTTCAGCCTGGGATGGGAGTCCAGGGGAGAGCCACTCATTTTTACCCCACTTCCACCCTCCAGGCTCACACACATGCAACCCAAGTGGGTTCTCACACACAGCTTCCCATAGTTCATTATTTTCCTCTGTCCTCCAGGCCTTTGCCCAGGCTGTTCCCTCTGGCTGGAACACCTTTCCCTTGATTCTCCTTCCACTCTGCCTCCACCTTCAGCTAGCTGATACCTGTGGGGTCTCCTGATTTCAGCTAGGGTGTCTCCTCCTCCAGGAAGCCCTCCTTCCTGCTTCTCTGACTCAGGCAAATGCCCTCCTCTGAGCAGCTCCCACACCCTTCCTGGGCTGCCTCCATCACTGCCCTGAACTTACAGGGTCATCAGTGTCGGACTCAACCTCATACTGGGGGTTCTCTGAGGCAAAGACGATGTCTGGTTCATGTCTGAGGCCCAGCCTCATCCAGCTGAGGGGGGAGGGGAGGATTCTACAATGGGAGGGAGACTGGAACTATTAATAATAATAATAAATAATAATAACAGTTAATATTTACTGAGCATTTGCTGTGTGCCGGCCTCTTTTTTAGCTGCTTGACACAGGTTAATTCACTGACCTGGCGATAACCCCATGAGTAGCTGCTCACAGTGCAGCCAGTAAAAGCTCTACCGCTGACCGTTCAAATCCTAGCTCTACCGCTAACCGACGGTGTGACCTTAGGCAAATCACATTGCTGCCCCATGCCTCAGTGTCCCCATCTGTAAAATAGAGATATTGACAATTCCAACCACAGAGTGACACACAGCGATCCTCGAGCCATGTCAGCATCATCTCCCTTTCCCGACACCCACTTGCTGTTCTGAGAGCGGGGCACCCATTCCCCCCTCTCCCCGCCAGCACCTCATTCCCTCCTGTACAGTGACCCTTCCCCACACCCTGGCTCCTGGCCCTCCCTCTTCAATTTGGGGCCTGTCATTTGACCTTCCCCTGATTCACCACCAGCGGTGGACTGGTTCCCACCTGCTTAGCTCAAGCAGCATGGCCTGTGATTAAACACTCAGACATCGCACTACCACCGTTCCCTAGCTGGGTGAGCCTGGCCCCTTCACTGCCTGAGGCCTCCACCTCTTCGCCTGTTAAATGTGGTTGATAGCAGTTCTACCTCTGGATTCTATGGGATAATTCATTTACAATGCTAAGTGCTGTGCCAGGCACACAGAAAACCCTGGCTAGGTGGTATTAAGTTGTAAATATTAGCTAGTATGTGATTTTGTTCATTCAAAAATATTTTTTGAGCATACAGTATGTGTCAAGCACGATTTGTAATACTGGGACACAGCAGTGAATAAACCAGACGAAACTTCTAGCACCCCTGGGGTTTATAATCTAGCAGGGAGGACAGAAAATAAACCAGTGAAATCTATGGGGTTCCAGGGAATGATATGTTTCCTGGAGAACCTGAAGAAAGGGAGGGGACAAGCAGGTGCTGGTCAGGGCAGGGCTCTTTGGAGCAGATGCCTAAAGGGGAGCTGTATGGATAGCTGGATTAGCCCAGAGAGACTGAGCAACTTGCCCAGGTCACACAGTGAGTAACTGGAATTGAACCTCAGAGCTGGAACCCTCAACCAAAGGGGCATGCTGCCATTCCTGTCCTGCCCAACATGTAGTAGGCTCTTTATTTTCTGACTCAGGTCCCCGGGGCTCCCCACATCACCTTCATTACCTGCCAACGAATTAAAGAGAAACAATCTCTCTTCTTTTCCCTGAACTAAAGAAAAGACCAGCCTTTCTGTAGGGCACACAGTAGGTGGGCAGTCGAGAGGCCACACTGCCGTGACTCACCCAGAGAGCTCTTCGATAACACCAAAAACCCCTCCGTAGCCCAGCAGGCCACCTCCTCCGAGCAGGCCCCTGGAGCCTAGGAGGCCCTGGTTCACTGATGTGACCGTCCCCAGCACGTTTTGTAGAATGGGCCCCTCAATCAGCGAGTTCTGGATGGCTGCAGAGAAGGTGGGGGAAGATAGGTTCATTTTACAGATGGGGAAACTAAGCCCCAGAGAGGTGCAGAGACTTGCCCAAAGTCACACAGCAAATCTGGTTTGAGGCCAATAGTATGACTAGGGCTCTTGACCTTGGGCTGTCCTGTAGCACCGACAACGAGGACAGAAGCAAAGGAGAGAGCACACAGCCACCAAAGCTTGATCAAGATGGAGGAGAACTCGGCTCCTCCTGGGCACCCCTGGCCTGACTCTATACAGATTGTGAGAAGGGCAAGACAGAAGGAACCTCCTCGTGGAGGTTGGGGCAGGTGGGGGTGGCCTCCCTGAAGCATTTCTTATTCATGACTGCTCTACTTTATCCATGAGACTGTCACTCTCATGTGTTGGGCCCTGGAGCACAAAATGTCTAGTAGAGTTC